GATATTGGATGATCGCAGGCTGCCTACAGCGTCTCATTTCGTTTCTGAATTGGTTTAATGCTAAACTGTTACTGATATTTTTACTTATTGTTATTTTCTTTAGTATGTCTTCTTTCTTTTCTTTTAACTTTTTTTTTGGGTTAAATTTTTTATTTTATTTTAGATGTGGTTTTTAAAACGTTTTTAAAATTTTGTACTGGAACATTAACTTCAACCAAAATACAGCATTGTGTAAAGTTGTAAAAAACGTTTTTGTGTTTGCTGGCAGTAGACTGCTGGGACGTTTTCTTTCAGAATCATTGTTGGTCCAGTTTATTTTTAATATTCAAATAAAATGCTGTACATCATCATTATGACAGCTCTGGTTTTAAACCATTCAGGTGCAGAAGATGCCAAAAAGAACTAATTTTGGTACTTACACACTGTCTGAGATGGTTTTCTGTGCGCGCCACATCTCAGACAGCATGCAAATAACAAATCAATTTCTCTTTCTTGTGAACTCGCCTTCTCCTTGTACTTGAATGTAAAATATACACAAAACTCCAGCCTTGACGAGTATCCAATCACTTAACACTCAAGTAAGCATAAACATTTTAGAAAGAAAACACATTTATAAAATTTATATCACGATGTACTTCTTAATTTCGGTCGATACGATATAATTCCGATATTGATATGAACACTATTAAAAAAAGCCTCGTAAAAACTGCCAAGAACGCCCACACCAGATGTCTGTCTAACAAACTTATGAAAAATGTATTTGGCAAGTCTATGACACCTCATATAAAACCATATAATATTTTAGAAAACAAAAACAGCACAAATAAATTTATGTTCACCTTTTATTTGTATTTAGCCTTCATACAAAGTCAGTTTGAAATCACTGTCAAATAATCGTCTCAGATTCACCTAATTAATATTAATATCTTTAACTTCAAACTATAGCCTAATATACACTACCAGTCAAAAGTTTTTGAACAGTAAGATTTGTAATATTTTTAAAGAATTCTCTTCTGCTCACCAAGCCTGCATTTATTTGATCCAAAATAAAGCAAAAACAGTAAAAAAATTTATATTTTTACTATTTAAAATAACTTTTCTATTTGAAAATATTTAAAAATGCAAATTGATCCTGTGATTTCAAAGCTATATTTTTAGCATCATTACTCCAGTCACATGATCCTTCAGAAATCATTCTAATATTCTGATTTGCTGCTCAAAAATTATTTATATTGAAAACAGCTGAGTAGAATTTTTTCAGGTTTCTTTGATGAATATAAAGTTCAGAAGAACAGCATTTATCTGAAATAGAAATCTTTTGTAACATTATAAATGTCTTTATCATCACTTTTGATCAATTTAAAGCATCCTTGCTAAATAAAAGTATTAATTTCTATCATTTCTTTCCAAAAAAAAAAAAAGAAATCATACTGACTCCAAGCTTTTGAATGGAATAGTGTATAATGTTACAAAAGCTTTTTATTTCAGATAAATGCTTATCTTTGGATCTTTCTATTCATCAAAGAATCCTGAAAAAAAATTACTAAACTGTTTTAAATATTGATAATCAGCAAATCGGCATATTAGAATGATTTCTGGATCATGTGATACTGAAGACTGGGGTAATGATTCAATGAAAAATTCAGCTTTGATCACAGAAATAAATTATATTTTAAAATATATTTAAATAGAATGCAGTTATTTTAAGTAGTAAAAATATTTCAAAATTGTACTGTTTTTGCTGTACTTTGGATCAAATAAATGCAGGCTTGGTGAGCAGAAGAGAATTCTTAAAAAACAAACAAAAAAAAAACATTAAAAAGCTTACTGTTCAAAAACTTTTGACTGGTAGTGTGGGCTGATTATTCTTATAGATTGAAACAAATGTGCTTTAGCCAGTATAAAGAGTATGAAAAGTGCTCTGAGTTGCTGCAGGAAAAAAAAGAGCTACAGCAAAAACATGTTGCTGGAGACTGGCTTATTGAAAATGCAAACTGATTGTCTGCCAGCAGGAGGCGCTTTGAGAGCGGTAAAACTAGCGGTTTCTCCAGTAATGGCTGAAAACAAATCAGCTCCGCTCATGAACTCTTCTTTATCAGATATAATGAAAACACCATCGAACCTTTCTGAAGACAGTCCTTTCCCTTCAGAGATACATTCATATAAAACACCCGCGACCTGCAGTGCTCATGTTTATTCAACGAAGTCAAACGCCACAAATAAATAAATGTATGGGAAACACCGGTAATGTATATCGAAATATCGGAAATGTGTTTAAAAATCATATCACCGTTATTGAAAAAAAATTATATCACGAATCGATACATATTGATATTGAATTATTGTCCAGCCCTACGAATTTCTGTAGTGATAGCAGCTGCTGCTGTTTGTGTCCTTAATGGTAACCAATTAGATTAAGATTTTATCTTTTCTTTTCTTTTCTTTCTTTCTTTCTTTCTTTAAACCAAAGTTCACTGTCCCGATTGATCTTTATTTTATTATAAATACAGTTTGAGCTCAGAAGAAGATTTTAAAATGCTTTTAAAATGAAATGCTTTTCTCTATGCATTTTAAAGGTGCTGTATGTACTTTTTTTTGACTGTACTAAAGCATAAAAATAGCATAATAGGCTTATGTTTGCCGATATTTAGGAAACATTCTTAGTTCACATACTTGTTTCTCAGATTCACCTAATTAATAACAGTGCTACAGTTGTTCTACTGTGAAATGTGCTTTCCGTGTCGGAATGTCTGTTTTGGTTTCGGTCCGTGTGATCCCGCCCACTGACAATTTACCCAATTTGACATGCCAGGTTGCCAGTTGGCGTAAAACACAGCGTATTGCAGACATATGAAGCCAAACAAACTAGGTGCAGATTATAACCCACCTAAATAGCCTCGGCATCTATCTAAAAAGCTCAACTAGTGTGATTTGTGAATGCCTTTTAGATGTCCTGTGATGGGGTCTGCGCTGCGGGGGTGTCCAGTACACCTCTGCCTCTTACCTTAAAGTGTAAGGCTTGTCACCTTTCATTGTTAATTGACCCTTTGCAAAGACCTGTCCCCCTTAGTTATTGTTGCTACGTCCGACAAGCCATGATGCTCTCTCACACCACACATCTTGTTCTCACGCAATGAAAAATACATTGCGGTGCAAGAGGTAGAAGAGGTCCCCCTCGGTAGAAATTGCATGGTTTGCGTGGTGCCTAAACACACTACTGAGTGAATTGTGCTCGTTCCTGTGGCATGTCCTTAATCTGGCAACCCGCGTGAGTGTCGAGTCTTAAGTAGGAGGGGGTGAAAAAAATAAAGGTGTGTTCGGCTTCATGCAGCGGTGCGCAGACCGATCAGCGAGAGTTGCCGCTTGCAGTCGGGGGCGGAATTGAAAGCAGAGATGTTAAGTCGGACACTTTCTTCTCCCGGTAGTGACACTCTCGCGGTGTTTGCATACTCTTATCACAGATGAATTGAATAACATGCAATATTTGTCAAATATACAGACGTTTCAGAAACGTTTTCATGAGCAACAGAAACACTTTTTATATACTGCTTGATACAGTGCCATCTGTTCAAAAATAAAGTTCAACATAAACATATGCTATTTAAATACCAATAAAGTGGGGGTATACTGTATATGCTTTTATCAGTGTTTTTTTTTATAAACGTGACTCAATATAACATTGCGACTACAGTAAAAAAGCTTTTAAAAAACGTTTACAAACACAGATTTGTGAGCAGTATTGGAATTGAAGATGTTAGAAATACACGTCATTGTTGTCATGTGGTGAATTTGGCCAATCGTGTAATAGCTGTCGTCATCAGTGCTCCTTTAGTCGCTCTGAAAAAGCTGTGCCAGCTGAGTCAGCCGGCTGCTCTCGAAACGCTATCGCGGTACTTTAATGCCACACAAGTCGGTCAAAATTTCTAACCGGCATGCACTGCTTAAAGTCAGTCGCCGATCGGTCACACCTAATCTCTTCAATATTTTAGCTGCAGTACACATTTCAACCGCTAGCTGTTAGGCTTGCTGCCATAGACGGTGTTTTCTGTTATACCAGTGTTAAGCCGCAACACCGGTTACGTCATTTGCCTACCGCGGCACCGCCCCCCACCATCGTTTAGATTTTTTTATAGTAACAAAATTGATTTAGCCTAGTTCAGTTTATCAAGTGAGGAGAGTGAGTCGAGCTGACTGACAAGAGTGAGGTGAGAAAGACAAGACGATGCCAGAAGATTGTTTAGAAAAAAATGCAAAGGCACCTGTTTGGCAATATTTTAGATTTTGAAAAGCTTATTGACTGTATATATTTTTTTAAACATTCGTTTCTTATTTATTTGGTTCCACAGTGTTTGCTGATTACTTTATGTAAACTTTGTGTATTTTATTTATTTTATTTTACATCAAGGTGTATATGCCGTGCCTTCAAACTTTATTATTCGTTTTGCCAATAAACGTTCTATGTTTCTTATTTATTTGGTTCCACAATGTTTGCTGATTTTCAGTTTTATATACCCATTTAAACTTTGCGTAGCCTAAGTCATTTGTTATTTTATTCGGCATATACTGTATAGTGTATTTTTATTTGTTTTGTTAATAAAAGTTCTATGAGTTTGACGTTGTTGTTGCTTGAATTGAATCAATGCCGAATTGCCGCTAATTTGTAAGTGAAAGTAAAATGCGCAAGGCACTTTTTCAAGCTATTTAAAAGCCAAGAAATCCGAGTAAAAGAGGGAAAACTCAAACGAAACGTCATAGCACATGGCTATGGAAAAAAGTCATTTATTTTGTTTATTTAATGGTTTTATTCACATTTATAATATAATATACATTTTATTGTAATTTCACATTTTTATTCAAATTGTTGAGAACAAAGATGTTCAAATATTTGACTTGTGTTAAAAATATGCTACATTTTATAGTTTTTAGATAGCTCTTTGAGAATCTTATTCAGCCATTGACCCCAAATCAGTCTACAGTTGTCTTTTTATTTTTTATTTCAGGTAGAATTCTCATATCCTCCCATTATTCCTGGGGCGGGTCATGACAGTAACACACTCCCAGAAGAATGGAAGTATCTGCCTTTCCTGGCACTGCCAGATGGAGCACACAATCATCAGGAAGGTAAAGTCTCAATTTACCCTACACTTCACTAAAAAATTAAAAGTGTTTATGAAATTCTATCTAAATACTTTTTTTTTTTTTTAATTGTGATTGGTTTCTGATTGGTCATTGCATTCATGAAATCAGCAGATACAGTGGGGAAAAAAAGTATTTAGTCAGCCACCAATTGTGCAAGTTCTCCCACTTAAAAAGATGAGAGAGGCCTGTAATTTTCATCATAGGTATACCTCAACTATGAGAGACAAAATGAGAAAAAAAATCCAGAAAATCACATTGTAGGATTTTTAAAGAATTTATTTGCAAATTATGGTCGAAAATAAGTATTTGGTCAATAACAAAATTTCATCTCAATACTTTGTTATATTGGCTATGTTGCTCAATGCTGCAAAAACACGTTGTAAATAGAAACCAGCCCCATCCTGCAAGTTGAGGGGATTGAGTACATGTTTGTGATGGTAGGAAACAGGGGCGGTTTGAAACCATGTTTTTGAGACTGTCTTTGATACACTGCAGTTTTAAGGACAAAATGCTCAGCAATGGTGTCCACTGATGAAGATGCACATAAGTTGTCTTTAAGCGTTTTAAAAACACCAGACAAAACAAAATCAACATTACAAACTTGTTTCAAAATTTTCACCACAGGGGGCTTTAAATAGACTAAATAAGTTTCTTAAGTGTTAATTATTGTTTTGGGTAGGTACTATTGGGGTGTTTAGGGTGTGTGGTCTGAGAGTGTATGTAGAGTCAAAGTGGCCTCTAACACTGCCCGTTTTCTTAAAGATAAATTACTGAATTTTTTTAATTGTATGCCAAGAGTGACTGCATTAAGACTGAAAGGGGCACATCAATTTCTGGCTGATTGCATGTTTTCACAACTTTGGAGACAGAGGGTACTCAATGCCAGCAGGAAGCTGTCGGTGAATTGTCATTTTACCAGGATTTTTCTCAGTTTATCGGTTATGCAAAGGTATAAAGAAATTGATCCTACCAAACAGCTGTTGAAACAGATGAGAAACCTACTATGCAGTATTATTTCCTGTCAAGCTGTGTGTTACTATTGGAAGCTTCAATTTAGCTGCAATTTCGAAATATCTAAACAAGAAAGGCAAGACTTCAGGGACCCAAGGTCCCTGTCATTATAACCAGTTATTTATTCTTCTCTGTTGAATGATGGGATTGCTCTGATAACCTCTGTACAGTATACATTCTGGTTGGGCTGTTTTCAAGAGGGGTGTGTGTGTGTGTGTGTGTGTGTGTGTGTGTGTATGTTTGTTTGTTTGTTTGTTTGTTTGTTTGTTCCTTAGAACCTCTCAGAGTTCTACATTAACTGTTGAATTCACATTAAAGTTTATTTTTGAATAATAATTATTTTCTTTTTGACAATGATTACTATCTTCAAGTTCAAGAAAACCTCTTTAGGAAGAAAACTGCAAACCTCTTTATGGGTAAATTTGAATGAGTGGAAACATAACGTCTCTTGTCCAAAAACCTGCTTTTTTCACTGCAATGTGATGATTGAAAAGTATTATGTCCTCTATAATGTATTGGTTGAAAAACAGACTTAAGTTCTTCAGCTTTCAAACTGCATATAGTTTATGTAGATAAATAGGGGCTATATTTTTTACTACTCTGCACACCCCTTTGACATGCTCTGGGGAGGTGCAGCCCACGCTTTGAAAACCCCTGGAATAAACAATACACAATACATATCAATCACTACAGACAATCATGGAATCGGGGTCAGATGTAGTGTATAATTCAGAGTGAAAATGTACGGTTACACTTTACTTGAAGGGGTGTGCATAAGAGTGACATGACACCTTCATAATCATGACATGACACCTACATAATCATGACACGACACGTCATGAATATGAAGGTTTTTTTATGCATGTTTATGACAACTCATTAAGTGTCATTCGCTCAGTTATGTCATTTTTAATGCAAAGATGACATTGTTTGAGATGTCTTTGTTATAGGCTATAGTTAGGGGTAGGGGTAGGATTAGGTTAGGGTTAGGTCAAATAATGTCATATTTGCATTAAAAATGACATAACTGAGCGAATGACACTTAATGACAGTTGTCATAAACATGCATAATACCTCCTTCATATTCATGACATGTGTCATGTCATGATTATGAAGGTGTCATGTCAGTCTTGTGCACACCCCTTCAAGTAAAGTGTTACCAAATGTACATGTGCACAATCCAGACAAAATAAGCAGTAGAGTAATACAATCAGAGTAGTCCCTCATGGAATGGATACACCAAGCAACCTGCATCGAACCATCGTAAATACCACAGAGCCCAAATGAATGCACATTCCAGGACCTCAATCAAAAATTGGGAACACTCAACGATGACACCATGCCACAGAATCAAAAGACGTAGCCCCTCCGTCTGCAGCAACCATGCTGCAAATACCATTAAGTAGGCAGATCGGTGGAGTCAGATGAGACATGGATGAGACACCTCAGCACACCAGAGGGAATTACAAAACGTAATTGGAAAAAAATCTGTTAGGCTGAAGTCGATTTTATGAGTGTACAATATGGGGACAAACTTGCATTTTTAACAACATTAAAAACATGCATTATTTAACATACAAAACTACCAGATATTGCTATAAGTTTGATCGCCACATATAATCATTGCTGTTAATAGAGTTCACCGTCTTTTTTGATTACATGACATTAACTAACCGCTTGAATTTTACCATACATTTCTGCCATATGGACATCAACTTGAGGTAGTCACACTGATAAGTGTAGCAAATTAGCTCAAAAGGGAAATGTATATAAATAATTACAATTAATTATGATTACTTACAATTATTTATCAGCTGCCAGTAGTAACTGTAGCAGAATTAAATTGACATCAACCAATCTGTTCGTCCAGCGAACATTCAGTGTAAGTTCATATCAACTCTAGGAAAGAAATATTTCCGTGGCCACAAAAATACTTTCTTACAGTATTAATGCATTAGAGCATGTAGTAAGGATCAAAATCGTAAAGGGACAATTAATTTGCAAGGCAGAATCAGAAACTCATGTAACTTGTGCACAAGAGTTTTATTAACTAAACACTAACACAAACAAACAAACAATCACTCATACAGGGGAAAGGACAAATGAGACTTGATGGATGAAACCATCAGGAAAACCAGAGAATGAAGCTATGAAAAGAGTCAGTTAACCACCTGAGTAAAACCGTCAGCGTCGTTTTAGAATGGGGTCTACAGCTTATACTAAACCTCTGTTTCGTTTAGTTAAATGTACGATACTTGCATTGCCTTGGCCTGGAACGACCGTACAGATGCAGTCTCAGATGAAAGTCTTGATGATGGTTTGGAGGTTCGGTGGTGTAGGAGAAATTAGATCATCTTCTTCCTGGTTTGAAGAGTGATGAACCCCAAAGATGTTCTGACTCGATGGTGATTGGGAGTTTCTTCCCAGTGGAAAGTGAAAAATAGCTAAGAGAGACATCAGCTGAGGTCCTAGGATCTTTGGTGAATGGAAAGTCAAGGCCAGAGGCCTGGCGCAGACTTTAAGGTACAGAAGACTCCGTATCTAACAGAACCGCAGACTGACCGACTATGTGTTGGAGCCCACCGGGCACACAGGCTCCAAAACGGGCCGCAATCAGAAGATTTTAGCAGAAGAAGAAAAACATGGGCAGAATTGTGCGAGCCTTTTAAGGTCTGAAAAGATTCACGCCTCTCAGGATGGGCTTATCCAATGAGAAAGGCTGAAATTCCAAGTGGGAGGTTGGAAATACTGGGGAGTTTTATGACCCTTTGTGTGAGAGCATGGTAATTTGCATATGGAACTCGAATCAAAATTACTAAAGATTCTTAGAACACGAATATATTGCCTATGTACCCACATATAATATAAACGCTCATTTAGGTCATCAGAAGACAAATTCAAAGAGACGTCATGGTATCGGTGGGGTTATATTAACTAGTGATCTAACATAACACACACACAAAACCGTATACAATTCAAAAGACAATATACAAGAACAGTAATGGTATACACAATGTCCTGAGGAGATGTGTGTTCATTCACAGAAAGGTTTTCCTATGAATTAATTGGAGAAGAGTCCATTTTTATGGGCATTGTGTGTCTTTCCTAAGGGTAAATTAATTGTGAGTAGTGCTCTGCCCGCATTCCTTTGGGCAATAAATCCAGTGATATCAGCATTGGTTGCCATGGATCCAGAGGTCTGTTCTGCCTTTGAGGTGTTAGATGCATTTCGGGGGAAGGGTCCATCATAGACCCTCATAGTTGGTTTGTTGACTGAGGGGAGTTACAGAGTATTTGTTAAATATAACTAAAAAGAAATTGTGTCTGATTGGTCCAGACGCTACATAAGCTATTACTAAATATAATGTAGAAACTTTAATTTTTTTTGAGTTCATGTTCCATTTTGGAGCTCTCCGGTCTGCAGTTATACCTACTTGCATTTAAGATTCGCGATTTAACTCGTCAGCTGAGCTCATTAGTAGAGACTTTAAGACGTGGAAGCGGATCAGAAAAGGTAAAGAGTTGTGAGAAAATGAGATGCGTGTCAGATTCACGTCATGTTCAGCAGCGGCAGCTCTTAAAGTAATAGCAGCCAAAAAACCTAATAACCCAGCTGCTGTGATGTCTGTTAATCAAAGAACAAAAGAAAAAAGGAAATCGATAACATTTGTTGCTTTAAGGTTTCATCTATATTTAATTAAGAATTTAGTGTTTGATAACTTTATTCCATTTCTGTATATTTCCTACTTGCTGAAGGGCACAGGTAGTTAAATATGATATTTATTATAATGGGTTTATGTGAAGATTTTTTTAAGTTCACTTAAATTAGAAGTTATTTTTTGAAGTCTAATAAAGGTTAAAATTAATAGCTCTCAATTATACTGTAATGTTGAATGGCTATAATCAATGGTTAAAAATTAGGGAAAAAACTATTTCATAGAGACATCAGTAGTATTGGTATTAGTGATACTCGCCTTCAGTCATAAAAAAGAGATGCCACTAAACAAATATTAACAAATATACTGTCTTTATGTTGTTTCTACATTAATTTGAAGATTGGATGTGAAATTATTGCAAAATAAAATATATATTTAAAAACTTTAATTTTAGGTGGGATTAAATCGCGATTCATTTCAGAAAAATGTGCAAATAATTAGTTAAATTTTTTAATCGATTGACAGCACTACTTTATGATGTGATTTATTTTCTTTACTTTGTGTCATTCAATGTTGCTTTATTGTTGTGTTGTAATGTGTGAAAGTGAAAAAACACTGTAAGATGATGGTGTGGTATGTCCAGATTGATCTAGGATCACAGATATGATATGTGAAAATGAAAAATTTTGAATCTGTTTTTAAATAGTACTTTGTGTTTCTTTATGGACAGACACTGTCTACTTTCATTTGCCCCCTCTGGATGGCCAGCAGAAATGTGTTTATGGAGTTTCTTGCTACAGACAGATGGAGGCTAAGGTTTGTCCATGTATAATTTATACTAATTATTGTCACGTTTTTGCTGTTTTGTTTTTTTTATTATAAGAAAGAAAGAAAAAAAATTGTGCACGATTTAATTTTAGTAGAACTTTAGATTAGGGAACACTCTAACCATTTTCTTATTAGCCTGCATCTTACTAGCATATTGGCTGTTTATTAGTACTTACTGTATATTATTATGTATACACATATTAATGTCTTATTTTGTATGAGCATATTCTAGCTCCCTTAACCCTATCCCATACCTAAACATAACTACTACAACAACTTCCTTTCTTACTGTCAATAAGCAGAAAATTAGGAGTTGATTGAGGGAAAACCCTTAGTTTTACTAACCCCTAAAGGGTTACTCCACCCCAAAACGAACATTTTGTCATTAATCACTTACCCCCTTGTCGTTTCAAACCTGTAAAAGCTTTGTTCGTCTTCGGAACACAATTTAAGATATTTTGGATGAAAACCGGGAGGCTTGTGACTGTCCCATTGACTGCCAACTTTATTGAACTTTATTCAACAATTTGTCTCCTCTGTGTCTCTCTGCATCACAGTAGCGTAGTGCTGGGCGGTATACCGGTGTATATCTCTTAAACAACGTTCAGAACGCGACACTGTTTGAAAGGAGTCCGTTTTCACTGTTGCACTGTGGTGAGGGAACAGCTGTATGTTACTAAGCGTGAAAGTTCCGAAACTGAAGCTGTAGAACTAATAGAACGTGATGACACAGAAGAACTCATCCACAATATCCACATTGACCGCCACAAAAATTCCACAGCCCCTGCCATCAGCTCCTGCGTCTCACACACACACAAGCGTGACTTTAGCACTAGATTTAGCATCTTTCAGACCCTTTTAGCAGCTTTTTTCCATAGGATATTCATACTGACAAACCTAGGGACTTTTTTGGATAAACCTTAGCTATGGTTCAGTTGGAAGATTTCACCAGTGCTGTCCCGCGAACGCGAGGTCTTACTTTCCCGGAGAAGTGTCACCTCTCTCGGCGTCTGTTCAGTGAGCGGCAGAGAAGCAGCGCATTCAGTTGGCCGCACCGCAGCCGACTCATCAATAAATGAGTACAAAACAGCGTTTCCAAGCACCTGTTGCTTACTGATTGTTTGGGATTATAAATATGAGCGTAGGTCATCTGTTAATATCACATGCACTTTTTTTTTTTAGTTTGTTACTCAGGGTGCATGCAGTGTGCTGCATGAGACAAAAAAGTAATATAGCCAAAACAACCGCATAGCCGCTCTTTAGTGTAGATGTATGTTGATTTTATCAGACGATTCCGCGATTATAAATGAGAGTGACTCCTGGTTAACATGTATTAAAAGGGGTCGTGTTTAGTCACTATTTAGTGTGGTATTTTTTGACAATATTCACTCATCATGACCGTAAAATAGGGTCTAAGTCAATATACTGCAGTATTTCCTCTCTCAATCAGTAGAAAATATGGTTAACACCCGGTCATGCATGAAAAAAAAATAATATAAAGTCGTTATTTTTGTTTTCTTCATGTACAAAAAGTATTCTCGTCGCTTCATAACGTTACAGTTGAACCACTGATGGCAGATGGACTATTCTGACGATGTCTTTCATACTTTTCTGGACCTTGACAGTGTAATTTACTTGGCAGTCAATGGGACAGTCACTAGCCCGGTCTTCATCCAAAATATCTTAAATTGTGTTCCGAAGACGAACAAAGCTTTTACGGGTTTGGAACGACATGGGGGTAAGTGATTAATGACAAAATTTCATTTTGGGGTGGAGTATCCCTTTAATAGTGAAAGTGTTCCCTAATCTAAAGTGTTACGTTCATTTTTAATTGATGTAGTGCAGAGGAGCATAAGCCAGAAGAATGTAGTCTGATGCTATCATAATGATACCATGCAGCTATTAGTAAAAGAGATGTTTCTTAATGAATGAAGTCAAAATGAAAGAATAATGTAAAATGGTTTCCTCAATCCAAAGAAATGCAATAGAATCCTTTCTTCTTAATAAAAAAATAAACAAGGTATTTTGATAGATACTGTAATCCCATTATGTCTAATCTGATATTTTAATGTTTTGTATTATAGGCACTAAAAGTACGAGAGGCAGATATCACAAGAGAGACGGTTCAGAAGAGTGTTTGTGTTCTCAGTCAATTGGTAAGACATGTATATGGCAGAGAAGCCTTTATTTACATAAAAATGCCTGCTTGTTTCTGCAAATTATTAATGTAATTTATTGTTGTTTCAGCCACTGTTTGGTCTGATACAGGCTAAACTTCAGCTCATAACTCACGCTTACTTTGAAGAAAAAGATTTCTCTCAGATCTCCATCCTAAAGGCAAGTTCTTTCACACACATTTCATTGTCTGATATATTAAGAACTAATACAGCTAGTAAAAATGTTTTTATGAGATGCGTAAGATTTGTTTAAAGATGTAGAACTCCAGTCATATCAGTGTTTAAAAAAATTAAATGGTCTAAAATTAAGAAACCCTTAGAAAACAGTAAATATAATATAAATCAACACACTGAAACTAACAGAATATGTATGTGAAAAGGGTCTTTTATCAGCCCACTTTCAGTTCCAGAATAAATTAATCATTCAAATATTGTTGTCAAATATATCTTTGAACGGAGAATTTTTACAGTAACTGCAAATATTTGCTTTTGTATAATGCTGCATTAACACAGATGTCAGTATAAAAAGACGGATGTCATATTAGCCAGAAGCAAAGAATCACTTAGTGCACCTTTCATGTATTTTTGTTTTTGGCTCTTTGAAGGAGCTCTATGATCATATGAACAGATCTTTAAGCTGTACAGCGCTGGAGGGATCACAGATTTATCTGGGTAATTCAAAAACACTTTTCACTACTATAGTTTAGTAATTCAAGAATCTGCTTTTCACTAATATAATTGATTATTTAACCTCTAAATGATAGTAATTGGATAAGGAGAGTGTAATGTCCAAATTTACTTTCCAAATACACATTCTTGGTCTTATTGTGTTTGACTTATCAATGCATCCTACACATCCCAAACAAAAAGCCTCCTTAAAAAGTGAGTGTATGAAATGCCTACTTTGCAGCATTATGTAAGAAACGAAACCCCTGCTTTTCAGCATCCAATAAAAACCTATAGATAAAATAGTCCATCCTTAATTTTTTAGAATAGAATATTTTATTTTATACATAAATATGCTGCATTATGGAAGTCAAATTGGTTGCAAATGACGTTTCATGTTATCTTTAAATGTTTTTTAGGAGTATTTGGATAACTACTCAAACACCAGTTATGAAATTGTACAGCCAATTTTATTTATGGTGTTTTCATGACACAACTCTGGGATGTGATAAAGTCAAATTAGGATTTGAAATAAATGTGGCTGTAGTATATATAACCCTATCAATTTCCTATTTTCCAATTATTATTTTTTTAACTAAAGGTCTGTCTGCCCGAGATTTGATTCTGCACTTAGAAAATGAGATGCGTGTCAGATTCACGTCATGTTCAGCAGCGGCAGCTCTTAAAGTAATAGCAGCCAAAAAACCTAATAACCCAGCTGCTGTGATGTCTGTTAATCAAAGAACAAAAGAAAAAAGGAAATCGATAACATTTGTTGCTTTAAGGTTTCATCTATATTTAATTAAGAATTTAGTGTTTGATAACTTTATTCCATTTCTGTATATTTCCTACTTGCTGAAGGGCACAGGTAGTTAAATATGATATTTATTATAATGGGTTTATGTGAAGATTTTTTTAAGTTCACTTAAATTAGAAGTTATTTTTTGAAGTCTAATAAAGGTTAAAATTAATAGCTCTCAATTATACTGTAATGTTGAATGGCTATAATCAATGGTTAAAAATTAGGGAAAAAACTATTTCATAGAGACATCAGTAGTATTGGTATTAGTGATACTCGCCTTCAGTCATAAAAAAGAGATGCCACTAAACAAATATTAACAAATATACTGTCTTTATGTTGTTTCTACATTAATTTGAAGATTGGATGTGAAATTATTGCAAAATAAAATATATATTTAAAAACTTTAATTTTAGGTGGGATTAAATCGCGATTCATTTCAGAAAAATGTGCAAATAATTAGTTAAATTTTTTAATCGATTGACAGCACTACTTTATGATGTGATTTATTTTCTTTACTTTGTGTCATTCAATGTTGCTTTATTGTTGTGTTGTAATGTGTGAAAGTGAAAAAACACTGTAAGATGATGGTGTGGTATGTCCAGATTGATCTAGGATCACAGATATGATATGTGAAAATGAAAAATTTTGAATCTGTTTTTAAATAGTACTTTGTGTTTCTTTATGGACAGACACTGTCTACTTTCATTTGCCCCCTCTGGATGGCCAGCAGAAATGTGTTTATGGAGTTTCTTGCTACAGACAGATGGAGGCTAAGGTTTGTCCATGTATAATTTATACTAATTATTGTCACGTTTTTGCTGTTTTGTTTTTTTTATTATAAGAAAGAAAGAAAAAAAATTGTGCACGATTTAATTTTAGTAGAACTTTAGATTAGGGAACACTCTAACCATTTTCTTATTAGCCTGCATCTTACTAGCATATTGGCTGTTTATTAGTACTTACTGTATATTATTATGTATACACATATTAATGTCTTATTTTGTATGAGCATATTCTAGCTCCCTTAACCCTATCCCATACCTAAACATAACTACTACAACAACTTCCTTTCTTACTGTCAATAAGCAGAAAATTAGGAGTTGATTGAGGGAAAACCCTTAGTTTTACTAACCCCTAAAGGGTTACTCCACCCCAAAACGAACATTTTGTCATTAATCACTTACCCCCTTGTCGTTTCAAACCTGTAAAAGCTTTGTTCGTCTTCGGAACACAATTTAAGATATTTTGGATGAAAACCGGGAGGCTTGTGACTGTCCCATTGACTGCCAACTTTATTGAACTTTATTCAACAATTTGTCTCCTCTGTGTCTCTCTGCATCACAGTAGCGTAGTGCTGGGCGGTATACCGGTGTATATCTCTTAAACAACGTTCAGAACGCGACACTGTTTGAAAGGAGTCCGTTTTCACTGTTGCACTGTGGTGAGGGAACAGCTGTATGTTACTAAGCGTGAAAGTTCCGAAACTGAAGCTGTAGAACTAATAGAACGTGATGACACAGAAGAACTCATCCACAATATCCACATTGACCGCCACAAAAATTCCACAGCCCCTGCCATCAGCTCCTGCGTCTCACACACACACAAGCGTGACTTTAGCACTAGATTTAGCATCTTTCAGACCCTTTTAGCAGCTTTTTTCCATAGGATATTCATACTGACAAACCTAGGGACTTTTTTGGATAAACCTTAGCTATGGTTCAGTTGGAAGATTTCACCAGTGCTGTCCCGCGAACGCGAGGTCTTACTTTCCCGGAGAAGTGTCACCTCTCTCGGCGTCTGTTCAGTGAGCGGCAGAGAAGCAGCGCATTCAGTTGGCCGCACCGCAGCCGACTCATCAATAAATGAGTACAAAACAGCGTTTCCAAGCACCTGTTGCTTACTGATTGTTTGGGATTATAAATATGAGCGTAGGTCATCTGTTAATATCACATGCACTTTTTTTTTTTAGTTTGTTACTCAGGGTGCATGCAGTGTGCTGCATGAGACAAAAAAGTAATATAGCCAAAACAACCGCATAGCCGCTCTTTAGTGTAGATGTATGTTGATTTTATCAGACGATTCCGCGATTATAAATGAGAGTGACTCCTGGTTAACATGTATTAAAAGGGGTCGTGTTTAGTCACTATTTAGTGTGGTATTTTTTGACAATATTCACTCATCATGACCGTAAAATAGGGTCTAAGTCAATATACTGCAGTATTTCCTCTCTCAATCAGTAGAAAATATGGTTAACACCCGGTCATGCATGAAAAAAAAATAATATAAAGTCGTTATTTTTGTTTTCTTCATGTACAAAAAGTATTCTCGTCGCTTCATAACGTTACAGTTGAACCACTGATGGCAGATGGACTATTCTGACGATGTCTTTCATACTTTTCTGGACCTTGACAGTGTAATTTACTTGGCAGTCAATGGGACAGTCACTAGCCCGGTCTTCATCCAAAATATCTTAAATTGTGTTCCGAAGACGAACAAAGCTTTTACGGGTTTGGAACGACATGGGGGTAAGTGATTAATGACAAAATTTCATTTTGGGGTGGAGTATCCCTTTAATAGTGAAAGTGTTCCCTAATCTAAAGTGTTACGTTCATTTTTAATTGATGTAGTGCAGAGGAGCATAAGCCAGAAGAATGTAGTCTGATGCTATCATAATGATACCATGCAGCTATTAGTAAAAGAGATGTTTCTTAATGAATGAAGTCAAAATGAAAGAATAATGTAAAATGGTTTCCTCAATCCAAAGAAATGCAATAGAATCCTTTCTTCTTAATAAAAAAATAAACAAGGTATTTTGATAGATACTGTAATCCCATTATGTCTAATCTGATATTTTAATGTTTTGTATTATAGGCACTAAAAGTACGAGAGGCAGATATCACAAGAGAGACGGTTCAGAAGAGTGTTTGTGTTCTCAGTCAATTGGTAAGACATGTATATGGCAGAGAAGCCTTTATTTACATAAAAATGCCTGCTTGTTTCTGCAAATTATTAATGTAATTTATTGTTGTTTCAGCCACTGTTTGGTCTGATACAGGCTAAACTTCAGCTCATAACTCACGCTTACTTTGAAGAAAAAGATTTCTCTCAGATCTCCATCCTAAAGGCAAGTTCTTTCACACACATTTCATTGTCTGATATATTAAGAACTAATACAGCTAGTAAAAATGTTTTTATGAGATGCGTAAGATTTGTTTAAAGATGTAGAACTCCAGTCATATCAGTGTTTAAAAAAATTAAATGGTCTAAAATTAAGAAACCCTTAGAAAACAGTAAATATAATATAAATCAACACACTGAAACTAACAGAATATGTATGTGAAAAGGGTCTTTTATCAGCCCACTTTCAGTTCCAGAATAAATTAATCATTCAAATATTGTTGTCAAATATATCTTTGAACGGAGAATTTTTACAGTAACTGCAAATATTTGCTTTTGTATAATGCTGCATTAACACAGATGTCAGTATAAAAAGACGGATGTCATATTAGCCAGAAGCAAAGAATCACTTAGTGCACCTTTCATGTATTTTTGTTTTTGGCTCTTTGAAGGAGCTCTATGATCATATGAACAGATCTTTAAGCTGTACAGCGCTGGAGGGATCACAGATTTATCTGGGTAATTCAAAAACACTTTTCACTACTATAGTTTAGTAATTCAAGAATCTGCTTTTCACTAATATAATTGATTATTTAACCTCTAAATGATAGTAATTGGATAAGGAGAGTGTAATGTCCAAATTTACTTTCCAAATACACATTCTTGGTCTTATTGTGTTTGACTTATCAATGCATCCTACACATCCCAAACAAAAAGCCTCCTTAAAAAGTGAGTGTATGAAATGCCTACTTTGCAGCATTATGTAAGAAACGAAACCCCTGCTTTTCAGCATCCAATAAAAACCTATAGATAAAATAGTCCATCCTTAATTTTTTAGAATAGAATATTTTATTTTATACATAAATATGCTGCATTATGGAAGTCAAATTGGTTGCAAATGACGTTTCATGTTATCTTTAAATGTTTTTTAGGAGTATTTGGATAACTACTCAAACACCAGTTATGAAATTGTACAGCCAATTTTATTTATGGTGTTTTCATGACACAACTCTGGGATGTGATAAAGTCAAATTAGGATTTGAAATAAATGTGGCTGTAGTATATATAACCCTATCAATTTCCTATTTTCCAATTATTATTTTTTTAACTAAAGGTCTGTCTGCCCGAGATTTGATTCTGCACTTTAAACACAAGGTAAAGGACTGGACACTTTCTTTTTAAATTCTGCTTCATCCTTTTGCATAATATGTATTTGTTTAGATTTTCATTATGTAACTTGCAAACTCTGCAAAGCAACTCTTTGGTCTAAATGCTTGTGTTTTTTCTCTTTATTTGCTGTAGGTTTTGATTCTCTTTAAACTGATTCTGCTAGAAAAGAAGGTCATTATTACCATCTCAATACACTCTTTGTAGTAAAGTGGATTCTCATGGATGAGTCTAGTCGTAATTACACAAGTATTTATCTCCCTATAGATCCTATTTTATGTGACTCCAGTGAAGAGATTGGTTGAAACACTGATGACCGTCCTGTCATTGTTTCCAGGTAAAAAGGTTGTGATCTGGTGCCAGATTTGAATTGGTGGGTGTGTTATTCAAACTAAAAACTGAAGCACTGACCTAGAAATTAAGAAATAACACAGTAACTTGACAGTAACAAGATTCTTAAAAATTTTAAATTATCTAATACAAACTATTTTTTATGATAATCAATTTTTGGCTTTTAATTGTACATTACTTGATCTGATAATCATTTTATAATATGTTAATGACTGCACGTGTTGCCAAAGAAATTGCACATGTTTGCTGCTGAACCAGGGTTAGGCTGGCTATAGGGAGCAGAGCACTGATATTTTTCTCATTTGTGAGTTGACTGTTGTGAGTAAATGTAAATATTTAATTACCCTGTAGAGTACAGGTCAAGTCTGTTTAAAAGTGTTATCGTTACACCGTATTAGTGTTTATGTTAAGGTGTGACAAACTCAAAATCATGTTCGTATGCATAATGATAATGCTTTTAAATAGGCATAATGATAATTTACATAATGCATAAGCATAATGATAATACTTTTACACAATAATTTTACACAATGCCAGTTTCAATGACTACCCAGGTAGGTTTGAATTTATATTGAACAAACTCTAGTTTTTCGGACTCAAGAAGATTAAATGTTCTTTACTGTTGTTTACACTAAAAGGTTTTATTCGGGGTAGGATTGTGATTGTTTGCTACGTTAATCATGAATCAAACTGAGTTGATAGAGAATAGTGAGTTCAGTGGGCCTGCTGAACCTGATCTAAACTAGGTAGGATTTGTTTGGTTTTTGGTTTGGTCAACCCTAAACCTACTGTGAAACTCAGAGCTTGTTCATCCTGCTTTATGCAATAGAACTCAGTACTGTATTGTCACTTTTATGCAGTTGAAAATGTTGAAAAAGACACACATTCCAGTTTGGTAGAAACCACCAGAAACTCCAGTTCAGTTGGTGGCACAGATCATCAAACAGATTTACGCCAGTCCAACATAACATAGGCACCTTCTCAATGTAAATGTGTCAGACTAATTGCACTGTTAATATTTTTCCATCATTTAGCATAACTGTTTCATTTTGTGATTTGTAAAGATTGAAATATCTGGATCAATAATAGTGTGATTAATAGTGGTTTTCCCCAGTGTTTACTGTTCTTTTGCCAGTGCCAGGAACAGACTTAGATTGTGCTGCAGCAGCTCACAAAAAGTCAACCAAAACCCATGATGCATTGTTCTGTCAATCTTGTTAATCAAGTTTCTGACTGGTTTATTCCCAAAAGTAACTTTTTTGTTGTGAAAGATTGCATCAGCCCATCAAGACATTGCACTTCTATATAATAAATAAGCCTGCCGCTAAATGGAACATTATGAACAAAGTAAAACTCATTCCTAATTTGCCAGTTCTTGAAGTGGAGCAAATTTTATGGTGACAAAATATCTGGCTAGGTGAGACTAGTTAGTTGAGAAGGAATTATTTTAAAGAGTAAACATAATTACTTAAGTTTTGTAAAGTATTTATTTATTTTGTAGGTATAATAGAGCATGGACTGGCAGATTCCTCTCACTATCAGCCCCGGAGAAGCATCTCAGAGGACTTCAGTTCACCAGAAATCATATCTGCAGATGAAGAATCACTTTCTATGTCTACTACAGATATTACTAACATATCAAAAGAGCTTGAGGGCAGGTATGATGTCAGTGATCAGCCGGATCAATCAAAGCCTTGTAACACTACTCTGGACACACACTACCTTCAGCCTCATGCAGGAAGCTTGCTGGACTCAGAGTGCGAATGGGAGACGCTGGAGCCTCATGTGATGGATGAAATGGAAGGGAAAGTAGACGTAGCTCATTCAAATATGTTTGACACAGATTCAGGACTGCCAATAACAGTACAGCCACAGTCGGCCACAGGACAAGGAATGTTGACCTCGGGCCTGATATCTGGGCTGCAAGAGGACCAGTATGGACTACCACTCGCTATCTTTACAAAGGTGTGCACACAGAACACAATCCACATCCACCATACTCTTTAGAGCAAAACCACACTTGTTCAAGTTAAGTTTTATTATACATTTATATATATATATATATATAATGTGTGTGTGTGTATATATATATATATATATACATGTGTGTGTGTGTGTGTGTGTGTGTGTGTGTGTGTGTGTGTGTTAGAACTGTATATACCAGGGTTCCTCAAATCTTATCCTGGAGGTCCAGTGCGCTGCAGAGTTTAGCTCCAACCCTGATCAAACTCACCTACCTGTGATTTTCTAATGATCCTGAAGACATTGATTAGCATGCTCAGGTGTGTTTGATTAGGGTTAGAGCTAAACTCTGCAGGAAAGTGGATCTCGTGGGCCAGATTTGAGGATCCCTGGTATATACTATATGTCATCCAAATACCACAGTATGAACATTTGCTTTTAGTTATTTCTGGATTACCTCAAGGCTGCATTGGCTAACAAAGACAACTGTTAGATATTTCTATATTTGGCTGAGGACTCGTTTGGGTGGCCAATGTATTAGATTTCTCACATATATAAAAATAAAATAAGTAAGCTTGACCACTGTTCTTATGACAAGAAGAATTTATTGAAGGTAGTAGTGTAGCACAGTTCCTCAGCAGCAATGTTTATGTTTCAGCCTCGAAAAGAATCTTCAAAAAAAAGATATTAATCTGCTGTATTTAATATCTTTAAAAATATATATTAAATACAACAGACTAAAAATGTAAATACATAAAATATTTCACAACAAAGAAGCAATATCAAATTAAGACAAATATTTTGCAAGTTATTACCAGGGTCTAGACTCTAGAGAGATGAGAAAAAATGAGGCTATTAAGAAAGGTTTTTCTTTAATATGGTAGACATTTAGTATGGTATTTATATGACATCAAACTTCCAATTACATTGTCATTTGTCAAGGTTTTAGAAATGTAATTCTAGACCTTTAGGTTATAATCACTCCTTGCATGTGTGCCAAGTTCTATGAAAACTGGATGTTTCATTCAAGAGTTAAACGCTACATTAAAAATATGAACTGGTAAAAATACTGTACTGGTAAAACACTTTTTTTTCTAAGTCTCCTTATAAAAAAAATAAAAAATAATTGCTGTGACAACTTAACAGCTTGCTGCTGCACATCAGAAATGGCAATTCGCCTGATCAGAAGGCAGGGGTGTCCATTCCTGCTCCTGGAGGGCCAACATCCTGCAGTGTTTAGCTTCAACCAGCTCCAACGCATCATGTAGGGTTGGAGGTAAACTCTGCAGGACAGTGGCCCTCCAGGAACAGGTTTGGACACCCCTGACATAAGGTATGTGTACATAAGGTATGTGTACAAAATGTAATTCACTTCAAATGCATGTAGGTCTAGATCAGGGCTGTCCAAACTCGGTCCTGGAGGGCCGGTGTCCTGCAGAGTTTAGCTCCAACTTGCCTCAACACACCTGACTGGAAGTTTCTATGCCTAGTAAGAGCTTGATTAGCTGGTTCAGGTCTGTTTAATTAGGGTTGGAGCTAAACTCTGCAGAACACCGGCCCTCCAGGACCGAGTTTGGACAGCCCTAGTCTAGATTATTTAGTCTCTGAGCAAAGCAACAGAAAAATTAAACATGCAATTTAATCTCACAGCAAATAACTACAATATGCATACATAAACAACTACACCAAGGTTAAGATATTTCCCTGACAAAATGATATTTTGCCGGTATCATATGGCACTTTTCCACTGCATGGTATGGCTCGGCTCGGCTTAGCATTTTGTTGCTTTGCAGCCTGAAGTAAAGATGGACAGTTTTTGTTTTATCCAGCTGTATTTACCCAGTGCAACGTATAACATCCAAGTGAAAGATTATAACACCAACATGTCAGGAAAAAAAAACTGAATAACTGAGTTGGTTAGTAGTCTCTACTAACTTTGCACATCTAGACTTTGCAATATTTGCCCACTCTTCTTTTGCTGTGTGCTTTGGGTCATTGTCATGTTGGAAGGTAAACCTTCTTCCCATTGACAACTTTCTGGCATAGGGCAGCAGATTTTTCTCAAGAATTTTACGTTATTTTGCCCCATCCATTTTTCCTTCCACTTCTTAATAATAGCCTACACTGTGTTTCTAGGCATTGATAAAGTCTTTGAAAAAAGTTTTTGTATCCATCTGCTGACTTGTGCCTGTCCATAACTTGATCGCCGTGATTTTGGCAAGTAAGACATGTTCCTGGCTCAACAATACTGTCCAAAAATATAGACCTAACCCAATCCCTACCACTAAACCTAACCCTACCTATAATTTATTTCTAAAATCAGAGGGAAATGATAGGTGAGTAACAAGGGTGTAGAAGTATCTAACCCTGATTGTAAGCCTAAAACTGACATTTCTTGAAAAACGTATCCCTCAATTCTGATTGGTTGATTAGAATGTTGTTCTAATGAATCACATTCACCCCACAACTTTTGACAGTGCCTTGTCACCCCTAAGCCCCATTCGGATGGTAATTGTTTCTCAGGGGGACATAAGTGATTTTCACCATTTACATGGGGTAGTCTGTGATTTAATTGCCGTCCGAATCCAAGATGTCGGTGTTTTTCTCTCACCACCCCCGTAAAAATCCCCGGCCGAATTACCTAATGTTTTTTGACAAACACCAAGGTCGTGTGGTAATTTAATTGCCGTCTGAATCCACATCTCTGAGTTTACGAGAAGCAATCGATTCAAAATTCAGAGTTTAAACCCTTTTTGAGCACCCCCGAACACTACGAATAACTGCTCCACCACAGCGACTGAGAGCAGAATAAGAAAATCACGTAAACATTCTAAATGGGTCTTTATTATGGCAGCAGCAGGTATGCAATACAATTTTAAAATGTGTATTATAAACCGATATATAGGATCGCGTAGAATTATATACAACTATAGCATGTCTATTTTCCTATTTTTAAACAGGAGATTTAAATAATCAAATAATAAATAGGATTATATATTATAAAATATGCTTGGAATAAGAATGCATTTGACATAAATATTTTTAAATACATTTTACACAATAATAAGAATACATGTGTAAATAAAATTAATTTAAAATTAATTTTATTTACAGCAGACAATCATGTGACTGGCCACGTGAGCAGCGTGTTCCCGGGTTTGTAGGATCACAGATCTCGCTTCTCCACTGTGAATAAATCGCCATCCGAAACCATGAGTTTTATCACTGAGGTGATATGTAAATTTATTTTTGCAGACGTCCATATGAGAAACAGTTACCGTCCGAATCGGGCTATAGTTGATTGTTTGCTTCAGTTGAACTACCAAGGACTGAAATGCTGCAGGAAAGCTCTTTTCATGCTGAGCTAATCATAATGAGCACAGCTGATCACAGTTGAAAGACAAATGGCTTTGTTTATCATTGAGAAGGTGATTAGCTACACCTGATTGAGTTTACAAGTAATTTTTAGGAGGGGGTGATCTTTTTTTTCCCCCCCAACTCAGTGATTCTGTTTTTATTTTTTTTACTGACATGTTGGTGTTATATCTTTCACTTGGATGTTATAAGTTGCACTGAGTAAATACAGCTGGATAAAACAAAAACGGTGTATGTCTTCATTTCAGGCTGCAAAGCAACAAAATGTGGTTATTTTAAAGGGGGTGATTCTTTTCTATAACCACTGTACATTGATTTAAACTATTGATGCTATGTAATAAGAACAAGAAGCACAGTATATTAGTTACACAGTAAATTAGTTAATCATAAATATGCAATTCAATGAACTGACAACTCAAGAAAAACCCCTCATGACATTGAAATGTAAGGAGACATATGCATAGAATAGCAAAGTTAACTGACAAGATGTCAACAAGAATGAGAATGCAGAGAGATGTTTTACTCTTGAATTAAATTTGAGCTTCTACCAGCCAGGACTAACTGCTAACCAACCAAACCCTGACCACTGGATTAATCATGCCAGTTTGATTTGTTCAACATTTTGATTTCATTGCCTTTTGCCCTGTTTCCAGGGTTACCTGTGCATGCCATACATGGCACTCCAACAGCACCACCTGCTGTCAGACATAAGTGTTCGAGGTTTTGTTGCCGGAGCGACCAACATCCTCTTCCGTCAGCAGCGCCACCTGAGTGATGCCATTGTGGATGTGAGTAAATCTGCTTTTTTGTCTTTGCTCCATAATCACTCTAATATTATAGAGGCTGACATAGGGGATATTATTGAATGAATCTCACAAAGCCTATCAAGAATGTGTGCAGCTCAGATTTCACCGTATTGAGTTCTGTGTATTTTTTGCATCGTGACATTATTTTCATGGCAATAATTAAGCATGATTGTCATTAAAATTTGTAATCTAAATTATCATTACTGTAATGCATCTGTAGTTTTACTTTTGATTGTAATTTTCTTTATTCTCCATCATGATTCTCATTACTGTAATACAGTCATGAAAATGATTCTGTCTGGAAACATAGATCTTTACCCCCAAATGATAATAAATGATGTAAAATCATTTTAAATAATATACATGGCCAAAATGGACATATTTTGACAAAATTGATGGGATTTGATCGTTTAGCTATAGCCAATACTAGCAAGTGCATAAAATCATCTCCTCCGACAAACATTTTCCGTAGAAAGGAGTGTATGACTTAAAACGACATCCAGTGGTAATCTTCCCGTCTGGCGAGCTGTTAACTGTTGTGACTAGATTATGGAGAAGATATGATTCAAATAAAATTATTTATCCAAAAATAAGACAAAATATTTTCTGATGTGGGGAGATGCCAACCTCCACACCTATAATGTTAGAAAAAGCGTAGCAGTCTACTTGGATCATGGTGTCTTGATGACCAGTCCTTGATGTCCTTGAATCATTGTCAGAGTTGTATGACAGCCAGTCACTATTTGTGGCTGATTTCCTTATGATTTTGTGTTGTAGGGAGAGATGATGTGTTTTTAACCCATGAGGCTGTTAAACCAAATATCTTCTCAGATGTTCTATAGCTGGTGAGCTTTAATTGTTTTAAATGTGCCTGTGTGCAGGTGGATGAAGCTCGTATTCAGATCCATGACCCAGAGTTGCGCAAAATGTTGTATTTAAGCACAGCTGATCTACGATTCGCTGATTATCTGGTAAAACATGTCACTGAAAACAAAGAGGATGTGTTTCTGGATGGGACGGGCTGGGAGGGTGGAGACGAGTGGATACGGGCACAGTTTGGCCTATACATCCACTCACTGTTATCTTCTGCTCTACAACAAGGTGCATTACAACACACTAATAACTATTATTAATTTGTATAAAATGTATTAGAATACCTGTATGTATTATGAATAAGCATTAATTAACAATGAACAATAGTAATTAAGTGATGGATTAAGGGTGTATATGGTGAAATGTTTTTGTGTGTGTATTGAAATGGAGACAATCTGTTATCTTCAATTTGTGATGTGATACAGTGACTACAGGCACAGCCATACTGTCCCAGACATACACAATTGCACTTATACCTAGTCTCCAATTGACCTAGCCTGCATGTCTTTACATTATGGGGGAAACCAGAGTACCCAGAGAAAACCCACACCAACACAGGAGATGCAAATTACATAAAGTAATGTTCTGCTGGCTCAGCCGGCACTCAAACCGTGGGTGGACCTTCTTGCTGTGAGCCGAGAGTGTTACTCACAGAGGCATATTTATTTAAAGTATCTAAAAGAGTTATCTTTGCCTTAGAGTATCACTGTTTTACCATGGTCAGAAATTCAGTGCTCGTTTTTTCCTTAATAAAGTCAAGTTACCAACTGAGCACACCTTACTCCAGATTCATATATGTCAAGTCAAGTCACTTTAATTTTTATAGCGCTTTTATAGAGATTGTTTCAAAACAGTTTCACATTTGTATTAAACGGGAATGTAACCGATTCAATGATGGAAACTTAAAAAATGAGGCAAATTCAAAATTCTGCATTAAAGCAGCTGTAGCAAAACAATAGTGTCATTATTCAGCACCAGTCAGTTCAGTGTTAGTTCAGTTGTGTTCAATAAATGTGTAAAATTCATTCATTATGAAACAAGTTCAATTCAGCAATAAGCAGCTCTACATAAGACAATAGTGTCATTGTTCATCTCAATTCAGTTCAAGTTCATGTATTGTCATGTTGTGTCATTGCATGAAGTTTTATTTTGTATTTCTGATTGTATTTTTTAATCAGATCATGAGCGTCTGTTGGCAGATTATGGAACTGCATTCACATCCGCCTGGAAAATCACACACAACTACAGAGTGTGGATCAGCAACAAGCATCTAGCCATGGCCAGTATCACACCAGGGTACGTCAACTGAGTCAAACACAGCTGAGACAAAACCATATAGAATACTAGCTTCTGCTTACTTTATACTGCTTACTATTTTTTATAGTATGCCAAAATAATGTCAACCATATTTTAAAAAGCAGCGAGCTTGTTCAGTAAAATATGTGAGACTGGGGATGGTTATTCCACATTTTGATTTAACATTTGTAAATCTGTGTTTTTTCTACTGTTTATCTCAAACTTTATTATTATTCCCATATTTGTTTACTAGTTTTAAAATCTACAACTTGTTCCTAAACTGAAAGTTACTGTCAAGGACAAAGAATGCTGTTGTTGCAAGCTATCACACTACTGCAAGTTTGGTTGGGAGGGTTGTAACCTTAGAAAACATGGGCATCAGACTAAAATTTGTATATGCATTAATACTATTATTTTTATTATTATTATTATGAATCTTTCATATTTTTACAGATTGTTTTAAAACTTATTTAAAACGTGTTTGATAGCTAATATGTAGCTACTTTTAAGTATTTATTTTAAATTGGTCAGATTGTGTCACAATAGTCTCTGGTCTCCCTTGTTCAGCACACAGATGTACATCACTAAATGAGCAACTCATAACACTAGGTCACAAATCATGAAGATCATTTAAAGAACTGTGAACTACCTTCAGAAGACCTTGTGTGGGCATGAATGTACTATATAAACACAAGTTACAAACTTACTAATTTATAGAGTAAAATGTGTTCAGTAACAACATGTTCATTTGCAAAACATGTTTACTTGCACCCTCCTTCACCAACTGCATTAATAGCATGTGTTGCTCAGTTGGCTGTTATTTTACAAATCATGTTGAGGTTTTTAAACTGTCCTCAGTTAAATGTTTTTACACTTTCGATGGCAGGGGAAGCATATTTCTTAAAAAAAAATAATAATTAAGAATAATTTTGACAAATGACTATAACACAGGAAAAAGTTTTTTTTTTTTTTTTTACCTTATTATTGACTCTGTTCTTAGCCATCCATTCCAGGGTCAGTACAGTGTGGCTGATGTGAAGATCCGCTTGTCACAGTAAGTGTTACACACTCATTATGTTTTTGTTTACATACTCTATGATTGGGTAGTTTTAATATCCATATGCTCTGTCTATAGAACTTTAGTTTAATTAGTAATATATGTTCAGGGAAAAATGACAGCATCTTTTGCTAGAATGATGTTGTGTAGATGTCAAGTGAATGTCAAGTTGCTTTTAATCATAAAGCACTTTATTACAATAGAGATTATTTCAAAACAACTTCACAATATTAAACAGGAAAGTAACAGAATCTGTGATGCCAAATTCCAATATAAGGCAAGTCCAAATTGTAAAGCAGTTCTTAAAAGACAATTCATTATTCAGCTCCAGTCAGGTCAGTGCAATAACTGTGTGAAGTTTAATTATACATCACTTAATAATAATAATAATAATAATAAAACAAGATTCAATTTAGCAATTGAATCAGTAGACAGTAGTTTCTTTATTCGGCTTGAGTCAGTTCAATGTTGATTTAGTTCATTAACAGTGTTGATGATGATGCAAACTTGTCAATTATAAACTAATTCGACTCCACTATAAAACAGCTATGCACAAGACAGTAGTGTCATTATTCAGCTCAATTCAGTTCCACATCTGATAGTGTCAGTGCCGTCAAATCGATAATATTCCTGAATATTTAGTGTCTTTTAAATCCCAAGCAAGCCAAAAGGTGACAGTGGCAAGGAACCCAAACTCCATCAGCTGACAGAAATAGAGAAACAAGCCTTGGAAGAAACCAGGCTAAGCTCAGACCAAATATCCTCTGGCCAAATGAGCTAACACAGTGTGATTTATGGGGCTACATCACAAGTCAGATTTGTGGTTTGATGTTATTTAATAATATTATAGTGTTATATTATTATTATGTACTGTATGTAAGCAAATGCAATTCTTCTTATGAAGTAACAAGTACATTTGGGTGTTATGGGAAGTGTTCCTGGTTCCAGTTATCCTAAATAATGTAGCTTAACTATACCTTAAGGGATTTTAATTAGAGATGTGATTAGGTGTGAGTTTCTTTGCCTCCCAAACAGTGCTTAGAAAACTGTTCCAGAGTTTGAGTGCTAAATAGGAAAAGGATCTTCCACCCGCTGTCGATTTTGATATTCTAGGTATTATCAACTGGCCAGAGTTCTGAGACCGCAGTAAACATGAAGGATTTGAATGCGATAGAAGCTCGATCAAGTACTGAGGCACTAAACCATTCAGGGCTTTATATGTAATCAGCAAGATCTTAAAATTTATAACAGCGAAAACTAACTAATCTCCAAAAGGATGGTTCACTAGTGAATGTGCAGTATTGATGAAAGCTATTCACCCCACTTTGAACGTTTTTGTGTTTTGTTATTTTAAACAATTTTATAAAAGTGGACCTAATTTTGTTTTTGTTTTTTTGATGAACAGACAAAGACTATTTATCTCTACAAAGTAATTTAAAATAATTACAAATAAATCTAAAATAATATTTACATTTACATTAAGACATTTAGCTGACGCTTTTATCCAAAGCGACTTACAAATGAGGACAATGGAAGCAATCAAAATCAACAAAAGAGCAATGATATGCAAGTGCTATAACAAGTCTCAGTTAGCTTAATGCAGTACACGTAGCAAGGTTTTTTTAAATCATATAATAAATAAAAAAGAAAACAGAATAGAAAAAGAATAGAGCAAGCTAGTGTTAGAGGCCTTTTTTGCTTTTGTTAATCAGAAGTCAGAAAGTCAGAATTATAATTGTATAATAAATAAAAAGAAAACCAATAGAAAAAAAAAAAAATAGAAAAGCAAGTGTTTGTTTTTTTTTTTTTTTTAAGAAAACAAGCAGTTAGTAAATAAATAGAGTGCAAGTCTAAAAGGGGCAAGTTTTTTTATTTGATTATTATTATTTTTTTTATAAAGAATAGAATTAGAATAGAGAGTGTTAGAGTTAGAGGGTCAAATAAAGATGGAAGAGATGTGTTTTTAGCCGATTCTTGAAGATGGCTAAGGACTCAGCTGCTAAGATTGAGTTGGGCAG